CCCCCAAAACCCCAAAACCCCAATACATAATGGGATGAAATTGATGAAAATTTAGATTATGATTCTTATATTATTTTTAAGAAATATGAGAAAAGCTTGTTTTAATATTTTGTTTATTCTTTGTAGCACATTTATGTAAAACATTATAGCATTAATTGATTCCTTTTAGATAAACTGTTTACCTTGAATATTGCTACTTTACTAAATATCCAATATACCAAGGCTTTGGAGAATCGAATTTGGTAACAATAGTAGCTGACAGTAGATATAATTTATATATTGGTGGATACAGCATTAATTAAACTATGCAAGTGCCTATATTGTTTTCTTACTCATAGATGACTGCCTTCCGATGGATAAAGACATTTAAATTGAATAGTTTCTAAGCTTAAGCACTCTAGTTAAGTAAGGATGAAAAATACTTAGTTGGATTTATCTCAAACTCTCCAGTGAAAGATTATTATTTATCGATTCATGATGCCACTTCAGGGGAGATCTTAACTATGTATTAGTTAACTTCTATTCCTTTGAATCTTAAGCTCATGACTAGTAATAACTTTGTATTTACAAATGATGGTAGAATTTTCATGCTAATGCATAATGAATATATCTTAGTCGAATTTAAATACCAAGGTGGTAGCTTGTCTATCATTAAAGTTATAAAGCTAATTCTAATGGGGGATCAAGTTTACTCTAGCACAAATTAATATTCTACCTTGATAGCAGATCCCTTAGGATAAAATTTAATCTCAAATTTCGGAGGATTTTCTCAATCAGCATAATCTTATTTGCTTGTTAAAAGTTGGAATATTCAAAGTGGATTATCTTCTCAAGTATAGTATTAGTTAAAATTATCTTTTCCAATATCATTCAATCATTCAAGCTACGACGATAAAAATAATATTATGTTTTCTTGTGGTACTCATGCTACTTATCCTTATATTCTAGTTTCAGATTTTGATAATGCTAATTTCCAAACATTATAATTCAATCCTTATAGACCCACACAAACCTATCCTGGTACATTTTTAGCTGAAGGATGTAAAGCTATCCTTTCTAAGAATAAAGTTGTATATCTACTTTTTCAAAATCATTTCGTTGCAGGTACTAAATAATTTAAATTTAGGATATTTGCTACTTATAATCATTAGACTAATACAATTAGTCAATAAAGACTTGGTTCTACAATCTTTATTTAAGGAATGTCTGAAATTAATTCATTAAAAATATTTGCTGGAGTAATACTGGGTCCGGATCTTGCCTATTTTGTTGGTCACACAAATAAGCCTCCAATTAGTGCATCAGAAACCACTTAAAACTTAGGAATCCTACTTAGTCATGATAATCATTAATAGTGTTTAAATATTGTACCAGATCTTGCCTTAGGGATATAGACTGTATCTATAACAACTCTGGAGTTAAAAATATTAACAATAGTATTTTAGGAATCTACTCTAATTATGCAAAGAATTGATGGTATCAGTGTTTAGTTTTCAGATTCAGCTATAGGATTTTATGCTTATAACCCTCTATCAATTTAAAGCTGTGGAATTACATAGACAGGCATTGTGAGTCTTCAATAAGTAGAAAGCTATTCATATGTCCTTGGTTCAGGAATATAATTCTTTCAAATGCCTTCATATATATTCCAGCCTAACTGTGATAACTATGTTGTCACAACAAACCTAGCTAGTATAGATAACATGATATTGCCATTCTTATAATACAATGCTACCTAAAATGGAATGCTAATCAATACAAACGATGAGGTTGATTTAGGAGTATATATTATGAATTATACAGTCAAAGCTGATACTATTTTTGATTAAATTTAGTTTGAAATCAATGTAATCAAGCCTTCTCCTACTGTCCAGAATTGTTTGAAGCCAGTTATTTAGAAAAGTACTATTGAAAATACCTTTATATATTAGCTAGAGCAGCCATTGATGTAAATATCTATTCCAAGATTTAAATTTAGCTCTAATTGCTCATATCAAGTATAATATTCTGTTAAGTAAACAGATTAAGGAGATATACCAGATGCATTTTAACTAAAATAAAGTCCATTGAGGATATAGATCTATTCTCAAGATAAAAATATTATTGGCAAGCATGATATTATAGTACTAGGAACTATACTCTATTTAGAAGAATATATTTCAGAGAATACTGTAGTTTGAGTTCAAGTGATAGATAAAGCACAAAAAGTAATTTTCAATAATGGTCCAATAGTAACTGCATCTTTTAATGACATTATGATGAATGCTTATGAGACAGCTAGTTATTCTTTGCCTAGTGAAATAGTTAATAATCCTGACTACAATACAGAAATATCATTTGACTCAGGAAATACTTTCATGAAGTACTCTGACTAAATTCAGCTTAATCCTTAGTAAAGTGATGTAGGGATCCACAGTATAAAATTGAAATTGACAGACAAAAAAGATATTTAAAAGTTCACTGTCTACTTGATTGGTGTCGAAGTCAAAGATATAATGAATCAAATGTAATTTTACAAACTTAAAGCCATAATCACTTATATTTCCTAGGAGGGTTTGATAAGTGTGAATTTCAATGAATCTATGAATGTAAAAAGTGAAAATTTTACTTCAATCGTCAATACTTCATCCCTTTTCTTATCTATTCTTAATCAATATAATGGAGACTCATCTGAGTAAAACATTCTTAAATGGGAATGTGTAAGATTCAGAGGATCTGAGATGGATTTGCAAATACTATTTAAGAATGCTCTGAAAGTTTCTCAGCTTAATGTAAGAATATTATGCTTAATAATTTAGAAACAAGACATTCTAAAAATTGTATTTGTTTCAAATTATCAATTCATCAGCAAAGATCTTACTAAAGTAATTCCACTCAACTACACTATTTAAGCTGAGATACCTCCTTAACTGCCAAAGTCATGTAATTCATTATGCTTAACAGTTATTTTAGTACTTTACCAGATGCTTGATCAATCATCTTAAGCTGTTGCTGGGTCAATAACAGCAGTAATTGCTGCAAATTTTGTTTTGCAGTTAATTTTTGGATTTTCTATGAAGAAACTTTGGATAATGATTTCAAATTTATAAATATAAGTGCACCTGCCAATGCTAAATGTAGCAGTTCCCTCAAATGTGCTATTATACTATAAGCTGCTTCAAGACATTTCTAATTTGAATTTACTGCCAAAAGGGTTTCTAAAGAGCATAAGTCAATCTTTATATTCAGGTTCTGAAAAAAGAATCAACAGTAGACTTTCCTAAATGGATATCTTTTAATACTATAAACTCAGACATCATTCATATTCCTATAGAAGAACGTTATTCAGCAAATTTAGTAGAAAATATGGGATAAATGCTGATTTTTCTAATGATTGCTTTGATTTTTATACCAATCATTCTACTATTAGGTTATCTTGGGAAAAAATATTAATCGTAAAAACTTTTTTCTTAACTTTAAAGTGTGAGGAAAATATACTAGACAATCTATCACAAGATTTTTTTCTCCGCCTTGATCAGGCCAATACTAAAAGGATATCTTAAATTCATTTTAGCAGCATTTATCACAGCCAATCTTGTAATTATATCTTGCATTAATGTCTTAGGTAATGAGTTAGGAAGCTAATATGGCAAGCAATATGTAAAAGTTGATGCCTGCTCTTGTACTTTCATTTTTACCATTCCTTGAAATATTCTTTCTAATTTCATGCTTCTTAAAATTACCTGATTAAAAGTTTTTCTTATATTTTGGTTCTACATATGCTAATATTAGTAGTAAGGATAGACTGAACTTGATTGAGCCATTTATCTACCTTATTAGAAGACTACTACTAGCTATTAATATAGTTTTTATATATGATTATCCTGGATATTAAGTGAGTTAACAGATTGGGATAAGCATGATTATTCTTTATTATCAGATAGGAGTAAAACCATATAAAGATTTGTAATCTTTACTGATGGAAATATACAATGAAATGACTTTGCTTTTGATTTAAGTTTCATATACTGCTTTTGCCTAGGAATATTCATACATTGATTCTAAGGAAAATATTGGCTGGTTTATAGTGCTTTTGTCATTATCAAATTTAGCAGTAAATTGGCTTACACTAATTATTGGATTGGTAGCATTTATTATTAAGAAGGTAAAGGATTAACTTGAAAAGAGGAGAAACACTTAAAAAGTAAAGGATAACCAGTTTTAATAATTGAAATATTTCAGCAATACCATGAGCAATAATACAACAATTTTGGATAATAACGAAACTCATTAGTAAATAAATTTGGATAATATAAAAGAAAATACCTTTCAATTTTCAAAAAAAGATCATGATCTTATTGATAGTTATCCAGATTATCTATCAAATAATCAGCCTTAAAATATCAGAATTAGGGCTAAACATCGATGATAATTTGTTCTAATAATATTTGTCTTTTGTTTTATAATGAATTGTATTATATCTCCGATATTCAAATTCCTGGGGTTTTGGGGTTTTGGGGTTTTGGGG